GAGTGTTCCTGAACACTCTAAATCAAAATGACTGCCAAGTTCGGCCTCTGCATGATGGTCCAAATCAGTACAATTTGGCATGAAATGTTCCCCCCCCCTTTTTTTTGGAATCTGTGACCTCGAAAACAGATATCTAGAGTCTTTACTCCTCTGTTTGCTCCGCATTTGACGTTTTATCCACTAAGGAGCCAAAATCGGCCGTCATCTTGGATTTTGGGCATTTCCGTGGGTCGAGGGGTCTGTATGACAATTTTTCTGGAATCTACGATCCAAAAAACATGAGAATCGACACCTCTCTTGACGTTTTGTGCCGTTTTACCAAAATTTTAATTTCAGCCTCAATTTTGGCCGCCATCTTGTTTTTGGAGCCTTGGCATCAAAATCGGAGAGTCCACCAAAGATTTTCTCATTCTAGGGACCAAACTGAAGAGAGAAAAACTTGCATCACAAACGTGCAAACGGACCGTAATTTTCGAACACATGCTCCCCTGACTATGCAATAAATCGCCTTTTCCAGTCATTTTTGAGCATTTCCGGCCGGTTTTCATTTCCGTTTGGATCCGTGCCCCATCGATGCACGTTATTAAGGGTTTATTACTCGAAAGTATACACCTTGAGGTTGAAATAGAGAGAGAAAATTGGAAATTGCAGATACAATCCATGGATTGCATCGATTACGGTGTGAAAAATCGTCTTTTTGCGTCAATTTCGAGGATTTTCGGTCGGTTTCCGGTTTCCATCAGGCCGTTAATCGATCGGTGCATGTATGGAAAGCGTTGATAGTCTGCTTTTACACATGTTAGAGGGTAAAGTGGGAAAAAATATCGATAATTGAAGAGTTTATTATCGAAATATTTGGATTAACATGTGAAAAATCGTCCTTTATTATCAATTTTTCGCCTTTTTGGCCTATTTGAATTTTTTTAGGCCCTTAACCGTCCGATGGCAATTGAAAAAAGTATATCAACCAAAAGTATATATCCTAAGCTTGAAGTATAAAAAAAAATCGAAAATCGGAGAGACTGTTTTTTAGATAATTCAGATTGAACATTGAATGGCGAAAAAATCGTAAATTTTAAAAAAAACTCTAAATTACGGCCATTTAAATAATTTTTAGCTCAATTTTGGTGGCATGTTCAGAATCTACATGAAAAATTGGTCTAGCAACACTCTTTCAAAGTATGATCGATTGATACAGAGTCTCGCTACAGAGAGTCAAAGAGAGGGAAGTCGAGAAAATTTTTTTTTTTTTTATTCTTTATTTAGCACATATATACATATGTAGCACTGTTACTGTACAATGATAATTAAATATCTTAAAGTTAGTCAATTATGAAATGGAGCGAATGTGAAGAAAATGAGTATGAAAATAAGATTAAATCTAGAATAATATTAACTAACTAATAAAACAATTGTCTAATAACTTAAAATTAGACAAATTTTTATAAATACAAGACATTCAGAAACTGTACATACGTAAGATAAGTTAAAATAAACCCCGTACGTACAGAGAACGTCTTTTGTTTCACTCTAACGAGCTACTAACCCTTATTGTAAAGATAGAACAAATTAATCATCAATAAAATCAGAAATGAGGTCAAAAGGTTTCCGTCTTCTGAGCCTCCGAATTACGTTTGAGTTGTCAAGGAGGGAAATTGCCTCGACATTAGAGTGGAATCCTAGACGGCGTTCATGATTTTCCGTCAGTTCCCGAATGTAACTCTTCACTGACACAATGCCTAAGTCCTTGTGAATATTAGAATTTTTGATATACCATTCGGCACTAACCATTTGTCTCAGAGTTACATTCTGGAACGTCTGGATCCGTTTGATGTTGGTATCTGCGGCACATCCCCAAAACATGCAAGCATAACTCCAATCGCGCCTTAAAATACACTTGTAGAGGAGAATTTTGTTATCTAGGGATAGCTTAGAGCCACGCCCTAGTAACCAGTACATCCTCTTGCGCTTAGCCTTAAGTTGTTTGAGCTTGGACTTTATGTGTTCTCCCCACCTTCATCCCTATCCAGGATTGCTCCAAGATATATCTAGCCCAGTCGCAGGGAGGGAGTCGAGAAAATGAGAATCGCTAAAACGGGCGTTTTTGAATATCGCTAAAATTCACCCCATCCTTGGGGGTCGATATCTCGCGAACGGGGCGTCGGATGGAAAAACCCTGCAAATCAGTTTCTTAGAATGATGTAAAGACCCCGTATACCAATTATCAGTCAAATCGGAGGGGGTCGGGTTCCGACCCTGGTTGCGTTGACGTGGAATGACCCAAGATCATTCTAAAGAAAAGTGAAAGCCAACAAACTTCTTATTTTAAGAGGCTACTTTCATTTGTTTCTCTTTCTAAAAGATCTCCCTTCTTTTTGAGCCAAGAAGCTGGAAGAAGTCTAGTTTATTTTGGGTGAAAAGGATCTTTCAGAAAAATAGACAGTTGGTCAACCTCAAGTGAAAGAAGAAAAAAAAACTATTGGAGGAAAATTATCAGCTTTCAAACTTGTTAAAAAGATATCTTCAAGAATGTATGTGCTTCAACTTTATTTTTTATCACGAAAGCCAAAAAACAACTTAGTTTTCAGTCACCAAAAAAAAAAAATTCGATTCTGTTTTTTTTCTTTTTAATCTCGATTTTGATTGTAATAGAATAGAATAGAAATCACTTTATTCGTTAAAAATGCGCAAAAAGGCAAACAAACGGGTCAACTTAGATTAAACTTAATACTAACATTCAAAATTAGAAAAATGCATAATAGTTAAATTAGACAATTCTTCAAGTGAATCAGATTGAATAAACGTCTACACCAGTTCTCTAACTGCGTAGAATTCTTTCTCCACTAGGAATTCAGTGATCAATTTTGAGAATTTTTGCAATTCTGTGTTATCATCAATTTTTAAATCCTTTAAAGGAAGTGCATTGTAACACAGTAAACATTGCTTTACATACTCGTTTTCTCTTGGTGTTATGAACTTATTTTTATTTCTTGTGTTAAAATTGTGCTGATCTGATAATTTTGTAATTTGTTTGGAGTTTTCTTGTATGTATGTTGCGCTTTTTAAAATTATCATTTCTGGAAATGTTAGTAATTTATGTTTTTTAAACAACTTACGGCATGAATCTTCATTCTTCATACCGAAAATAATTCGCATTGCTTTCTTTTGCAATTTGAAAATTCTATCAACTAGTTTATCTGAGCAAAATGACCATGTAGATAAACAATATTTCCTACTATAAATGAATGATAAATTTGCATAAGTAAGCTGTGTTGGCAAAATTTTTTAAAGTATCTTAGCACAAAGATCCCTTTACTAATTTTGCTTATGCAGTTTTCAACGTGTACACTGAAACGCAGGTCATTATCTATCCAAACACCCAGATATTTAAGTACTTCTGACTCCTCGATCCTTGTTCCACCAATAAATATGTCAATTGTTACGTCAATTTTATTAGTGACTAGGATAAATTTGGTTTTTATTTCATTTATGGCCATGCCATTAAGATCACACCATTGGTGGAAAAGGTTGACGAGTAGGTATGCATCAATTTCCGATACAGAACTTATTTTGTTAGCAATGAGTAACAGCACATCATCAGCAAATAAAATTAATTTAAAAATTGATGTAAACACAGAGTTTTTAATTTTTATGTTCAAAAATTGCGCTATATCGTTGATGAAAATTAAAAAGAGAAGGGGCCCTAAAATCGAGCCCTGAGGAACCCCACTCTTGATGAGTTTAAGGATTGATTTATAAATCCTTCCTTTCTTTTTGACCGCTACATACTGAGTTCTCCCTGTCAAATAACTCATAAGTAATTCAATGGCACATTCAGTGAAACCTATCCTCTTTAATTTTACTTCAATAACATCTAACCTTACTGTATCAAACGCTTTACGCAGGTCAATGGCGACAATGACAGATACATTTTTCTTATTTAACAATAACGATTCATAACAATATCTTACTGCCATATCAGTGTTCTTACCGTGAGTGAATCCATATTGATGTTCATATAGTAGTTTGTTTTCGTGCAGGTATTTCTTAATTTGTTTGCTCATTAAATTTTCAAATATCTTGGATAGAGGTGACACAATGGACAGTGGTCTATAATTACTTATCAATGTAGGTTTATCTTTATCTTTTGGTAAAGGTACAACTTTAATACATTTGAGACTTTCTGGGAAAATTCTACTTAATATCATTTCATTATAAAAATATGCCAGTGGTATAATAAGCTCTTGAGAAATTTTTTTTGCAATATAATTACTTAGCCCATCATCACTTTCACATTTTTTATTTTTTAGTCTTTTTATTGCCATTTCCACTTCGTATTCATAAACATAATTAAATTCAAACACAGAATTGACTTTCTGTAGATAGTTTAATTTATTGATTTGTAAATTAAGATTCACCGTGTGCTCCATATGTTCAGTAAAGTAGTCATTGAGTGCATTACCCATTTCCAGACCATTATCAGTTTCACTTCCATTAATTTTTAATGACTGCAAAGTAGCTGGTTTGGTTTTTCTAACAGAATTGATTATTTCCCAGGATACTGATCGTAATCGCGATTAATTATGTTAATCGTAATCGAATCGTGATGGAATTGAAAAATACATAACCCCACAGGTCTAGTCCCAACCAATCATTGTTCAAGGTACCTTCAACAACATTTACACCAAGTTTCATGCTGGTAGCCCAAAACGCACTATCGGGGTGATTTTTGACCTTCAGCAAACCCCCAAAAAGAGAAAAAGTGGGGACCCAAATGATGGAAGCAGGGGGTTGAGATGGGTGAAACAAGTAAGTAATAGACTAACTAGCAGCAACCCACAAGAGACCCTAAAACTGATTAATCATTTTCTCCCACAGTATAAAGAACCACTCATTTCAACCAAAAGGATCCCTTCGTTTACGCTTAGTCTGTCATTTCAATGGTCAGCCTGCTGCACTGATAAAGGAGAGGACTTCAATTTCAAACAAAGAAAAGCACATTGAGAGGAAGAAAAAATTTACTTGCCAAATTACTTAATTTTTTCGGAAATAACAAAATTATTTTTGCCCAAGTGTGAAGCTTTACTAAGCCATGGGGGTAGAGGCATGTGGACAACCCTCTGCTTAGCTAAATCCTTGACAAACTCAGCAATGTTAGGAGCAGAGATTTTTAAAGATGATTTAAACATATTTCCTTCTGCATCTGGAACCACTCTTAATCCACGAAAAGGAACTGATGCCTGTTAAAGATATGAAAAACGAGTTGGAATAATAACCTATTCACAGAGAAGCACAACATGATAAAAAATAAGATTTTCACTTCTTGTTCATGAAAATATCTCAGACACTTGATTGATTCCAAGAGTTGATTTCTGTGCTTAAGAAAGTTCCTATAACCGTGCTTTCAACCACAGAAACTCTTTGATGCATATGTTTCGAGGTTATCTATGGAAGAAGGGTCTGTACTCAAACATTTGCAATTTTTAGAGAGAAAATTCGGACCTACATTTTTTTTATGAAAGCACTTCTCACAATACGTTTCACAAAAGTCTGATTTCATTAGGATTCTTCCGCAACAGAGGCGAGTGATAAGACATTTTGATAAAGATCAAACAGAAAAAAATTACGTTGAGCTCATCGGAAATATCTCAAAAATATACAGACATACAAAATGTAGAAACTCCATATCAGGCATTCTCAAATTTATTGCATGGACAGGCGCTTGCGGGAACTGTTCGCCCGAAGAAGAAAAACCCCTTACTCTAAATATTGGTGGGTATTTGGAGTGTAGCCAAGTGCTAGAAATAATGTATAATTTTCTTTAAAAAACTCACATTTCATTAACAAACTTTGACCGAAGCTTTTCGAAGCAAGCGCTTCACATAACAAACATAACAAACACTAAACAAACCATTGCGTTTCTTATCAACTGTTACCACTGAAATCTGTTACCTTGTCTGAAATTAAATTATGGCCTTTGTGATATCTATTTTGTGACCGTGACGATGAAGCGCTTGCTTCAAAAGCTTCGGTCAAAGTTTGTTAATAAAATGTGAGTTTTTTTAAAGAAAATTTTACATTATTTCTAGCACTTGGCTACACTCCAAATACCAATATATTCAGTGCTACTACCTTTTAGACATTGTATTACAATGTTCGCTGAACTTACTCTAAATTGACAAACAATCTCACAAAGTGTTAACAATTTCCTCATGTAATATTTCTGGCATTTTCAAGCATGTCGACGGTGTAAGTCGGCAATCACATAACTCGGTTTGCGACGTCGCAGACTTCCTGTCATACTTTGTTTTTTAAACGGAAAACTACTCAACGGCAATTCTTTAAAACTATCGTGATTTTTCTTCTCAATGCGAAGAAAACTCTGCAAAAACTTCAAGGAATGATGTCAATTTGTTCTTCTTTAAAAAAATAACATGGAGGCAGAGATTTTCAGACACCGCAGACGACATATGTGACTGCCGACTTACACCGTTGATGTGTATTCTCCTAGGTTGCGTCAAAAAAAATGAAAGTCTGAAATGTTCCGCTCCCCAGGCGGCAATCGATGACGATCGGTAAAAAAGCATGTTTGCCAAAATTTGGGTCAATTTTAACCTTTTTAAATGGCGCCAAAGGTCAATTTTGTGATGAAATTATGATATTTAGGTTTAGATCTCGATTTCGTACAAAAAACTTGATTTTATGCTGAAATCGTGCGTTTACGAGAAAAATGCCACATAACTCAAGTTGTAGAAGATGAAATTTTACGTTAGGAAGACGTCTTTGTAAATGATAAAAATCGAATTGAACTAGAAAAACTCACCTCCGTATTTATTTTTTTGGTCCTCAGAATTTCCGAGGTCTTACAAAGTAGCGGTTTAAGAGACTCATTTTTCACGAAAATAAGTCGAAACAGGGTATAAATGAACTGTAGGCATGTGTTAAGGATGCAAGTGTCATCAGAACTTCCTCAGTTTCAAAAAAAGTTCCAACTATTTTGCACAATCCTCCAAAAAGTGTACAGCTCGAGATGCAGGATCGTGCTGTAATAGTAAGGGAGAAGTACGGTTTGACCGGGAAAAATTGCGTAACAAACTTTCCCCATTTAATCGTCATCAGTAGGTCCCCCTGAACGACTTCCTGAAAGTTAAGAATGGTCCGACCCCGGAACACCCCTCAAAGTACTTAAAATTGAAAATGGCGGCCGTAATAAGGAGGTCCGGGAAATCGGTATTTTAAAATGCTCATTCTGTCTCATGTGAGGTATCATTTCCTTTGCAATTTTGGTTGTAGATTTTATAAATGAGCTCCACAAGGCCCCCCGGTAAAAGGGGGCGCTCCAAATCAAAGATGGCGGCCAAATGTGAAAGGAATATTTAAAAAAATGCAACCTCCTGCTTTTCACATTTAGCCGCCATCTTTGATTTGGAGCGCCCCCTTAGACTGGGGGGCCATAAGGAGCTCATTTATGAAATCTACGACCAAAATTGCATAGGAAATGATACCTCACATGAGACAGAATGAGCATTTTAAAATACCGATTTCCCGGACCTCCTTACAACGGCCGCCATTATCAATTTTAAGTACTTTGAGGGGTGTTCTGGGGTCGGACCATTTTTAACTTTCAGGAAGTCGTTCACGGGGACCTACTGATGACGATTACATGGGGAAAGTTTGTTACGCAATTTTTCCCGGTCAAACCGCACTTCTCCCTTACTATTATAGCTCGATCCTGCATCTCGAGCTGTACACTTTTTGGAGGATTGTGCAAAATAGTTGGAACTTTTTTTGAAACTGAGGAAGTTCTGATGACACTTGCATCCTTAACACATGCCTACAGTTCATTTATACCCTGTTTCGACTTATTTTTGTGAAAAATGAGTCTCTTAAACCGCTACTTTGTAAGACCTCGGAAATTCTGAGGACCAAAAAAATAAATACGGAGGTGAGTTTTTCTAGTTCAATTCGATTTTTATCGTTTACAAAGACGTCTTCCTAGCGTAAAATTTCATCTTCTACAACTTGAGTTATGTGGCATTTTTCTCGTAAACGCACGATTTCAGCATAAAACCGAGTTTTTTGTACGAAATCGAGATCTAAACCTAAATATCATAATTTCATCACAAAATTGACCTTTGGCGCCATTTAAAAAGGTTAAAATTGACCCAAATTTTATCAAACATGCTTTTTTACCGATCGTCATCGATTGCCGCCTGGGGAGCGGAACATTTCAGACTTTCATTTTTTTTGACGCAACCTAGGAGAATACACATCAACGGTGTAAGTCGGCAGTCACATATGTCGTCTGCGGTGTCTGAAAATCTCTGCCTCCATGTTATTTTTTTAAAGAAGTACAAATTGACATCATTCCTTGAAGTTTTTGCAGAATTTCCTTCGATTGAGAAAATATTTTGTTTTCCTCCGAAACTAATGAGGATGAATGAAATTTTAAAAAGTATCCTGATGGTCAGATTCTTAGCTTTATAAAAAGTACTTCATTTTTTGGTACATTGCTACGAATTGACGTCATTTTTTCCTCGCCTTCCTCTCAATAGCTAAAACATACACTTGCTGTGCAGCAAATTTTTGATCACAGCTTCTCCTAATACTACATTGGTGAAGCAGTTTGGGCCTCTAAAGCTCATTCTTACACAGGAAAAATGATGGATATCGTTTGCAGGCTCAGTGAGCATGGCATATGAGGAAAGATTTCTAATTAAATACAGATAGTCTTAAGCAAAATGAGGCTTATCATTGACTCCAAGGAAAAAACCTTGACGAGATATAAGATATGTAGCATCGGTCCTGTATCTCCTTCCCAAGGAATTGATCATCGGTAGTCCATCAGCATCCTAAAACATATTGACCTCGATCTTGCCGGTAGAGGAAGAACTTGCTTCCTTTGGAACTAACTCGTCCCACTTTTTGAACACTTCGCTTTGCTCCTTGATTTCAAGTGTCTTTACCTAAGACCATATTTTTAGAAGTGCTGATAGCATTGTAGAAAACTTTAGGAATCTGAGTGCATCTGAGTGGCCAAAATAATTATTACTCGCGCTTTCAATTGAGAGACCTCAGTTATCTGACGAATTTCGAAGCATGCAAATATATTGAACAAGCACCAGCAAGAGATGGGCACAGGAATAAATGACATCACTCACAAACCAGCGCACCAAACTTAAAATACAAGTGCTCTTTGAAAAGCTACGAAGTATAAAGGAAAAGATATTTTCACTAATTTCATTTACTTCTATTATCTTAGACAAATTTTTAGGACTATTTTTACATTCAACATACTTGCCACGGACATTTTTTATTGGATCTCTTTCACTAGAATATTTCTACCCATCACCCTCATAATTTCACAACTCTTCAATTATGAAGGGAATCAAGAAACCTTTGCTTTTGGTTACAACAAGGAAAGCGTCCTCAAAATTTTGAAAATTACTTAAGCTGAAGTACTTCCCTCTCCCATCACTTATTTTTTCATTCAGTTAAGGCGTGACCATGCTTGAATCTTATGTCTCTAAACATGATCCACAGACTGGTAAGATTCCAAATTATTGATAAAAATAAGGATTGATAGAATGAATTCTTAACTGAGAAATGCATTTACCGTAACAGATAAGGTTTGTAGTTCAACTGGTTCCTCTCCTCCAAACACCTTTGCTGCAAATTTTTTTCTTTCCTCATCTAGGCAATAGTTAAGCCCATCTGACGTTCGAATAATATCCACTGAAAATGAAAACTCAAGTAATAAAAATTCAAAGTCTTGCAAGAAATTTCATGACAATAAGATACCGACTGTTCATCAGAGGCAGATAATTTCAGAAAAAATACGGGTGAAAAAATCCCTACATCTTTATGAATCAGAACAGAGCAGCAATTGTAGAATGAAGGGCTATTAGGCCAGTTACAGGGGTTGTTTGTTTGCTAGGGATTATGAAGTCACTAGACAGCAACAGCCTGTGGAGAAAATAAAAGATGAAAACTAATTTTCTAGCTCTTGACAATAAAGAGGTTGTTCCATCCCCCATTAGATTTGGCCCCCTATCAAATAAGATCCATCTTTTCAGGGGTGATACAGTAGCATGCGAGACGTTCAAAAATGGCGGTCAGTTTGACTTACCCCCCCCCCCCCCNGAGGGGAGAGGGGGGGGGTCAAAGACAAAACCTTCAATTGCCTATAACTTTTGAGCAAAAAATCAGATTGAGTTGAACTTTTTTTTAAAGGAAAGATCTCCAAAAGATCTATCTACCGATACCAGAAAAAGTGAAAAAAAAATTAAATTTAATGCAATTATTTAGGGGACAAAATTTTCAATTTTGCCGTGTTTCGGCACCGCGCAATAAGTCTACAAAAACAAAAACCAGTTTTTTAGATTCTACACTCAATTTCCTATGAGATGCAAAAACCGCATCTTGGGGAAACGTTTAGATTCCGAGCTATGGCTTGTCAAAGTTAGCCCTGCGCCAAGCACGCGCCCCTTGCGCTGTTCGCACACCCTTACGCGTCTGCCACCGATCCTGTTGCCCCTCCCCCCTCCCTAAATGCAAATTAACATTCTACTACCTAGCTTTCGTATATATCTGCGTTATATGTACGTGAAAGTTTTAGCAAATTCGTGATTTCCAGTGGAATTGATGCTTTATTTCGGTCCCCCCCCCCCCCNCACTCGGCCACTGGCACTGAAGTGTGCCTGCCTACAAGTCGTTATAGTTTTTTCTTGTGTCTAACTGGAGGTATTTTTTTTCTAGAATACACACTAAAATGATCAGAATAGGTAAAAAAAAATTAATTTAATAGGTGAATTGAAAGCAGTTACACTTACAAACATCACTGTGAATTTTCATTTTCGATGTCTCCGGCACAATCCATTCTACACGCATGATCTTCTGAACAATTAGTATTGCTAAACATTGTCTTCATTAGAGGGAATGGTTTATTGAGGAATTCAGATGGATATTTCAAGGATTTTTTATGCCTTCCGTAAAAAAGATATCAAATTAAAGAAAATGCATGCGAGCATGGGTGAACAGTTCTTGCCTCACTTTTCGAAATGTGGACTTTTATTAAAATCTCCTTTTTTCTTGAGGGCTAATATAATTTCACGGCATAGGTCGCAAACCGAGTACAAAGCATTCATTTTAATGGAACTGTTCATCCATGCTTGCATGCATTTTCTTTAATTTGGTATCTTTTTCACGGATGGCATAAAAAATCCTTAAAATATCCATCTGAATTCCTCAATAAACCATTCCTCTAATGAAGACAATGTTTAGCAATACTGATTGTTCAGAAGATCATGCGTGTAGAATGGATTGTGCCGGAGACATCGAAAATAAAAATTCACAATGATGTTTGTAAGTGTAACTGCTTTCAATTCACCTATTAAATTACTTTTTTGTATACCTATTCTGTTCATTTTAGCGTGTATTCTAGAGAACAAATGGACTGAGTTAAGCAGAAAGGAACCAACCCACATTTTGGAAAAAATTGAGTTATGAGTGGTTTTCAACTCAACCAATACTCTGCTATCTATCGCCAAAAATTCAAAAATTTTAAGGGAGCGAATTTTGCAGAAACTGAACTTGAAGTTTATCTTTTACATTGAGTCTTAAGTAGGAGCCAAACTTTCTCTTTTTCTCAGTTTGATCCCGATGTGGCTTGGTTCCTTTCTATTTAACTCCGTCCAAATACCTCCAGTTGGGCACAAGAAAAAACTATTACGACTTGTAGGCAGGCACACTTCAGTGCCAGTGGCCGNGGGGGGGGGGGGGGGGGGGGGGGGGGGAGGGACCGAAATAAAGCATCAATTCCACTGGAGATCACGAACTTGCTAAAACTTTCACGTATATACATAGGTTGTCCCAAAAGTACTGCACGTTTTTCTCTTTTTGACGAACGGTAGTAGATATCAAAGTGCGGTTTGTGTAGTCTTAAAGACCGGCCAATTACCGGTAAAACAAGACAAATCCGAGCTCTCTAAGTCAAAAAATGACCAAGTTACAGCGTTTTGAAAATGACTTCAGCTTCTTTTCTGGAAAAAAACAAAGAGTTGATTGTTTTTTTTTTTTTGGACAAACGGTAGCAGATATCAAAATGCGGTTTGTGAGGTCTTAAAGACGAAGCAATTACCAATAAAACAAGACCAATCTGAGCTCTCTAAGTCAAAAAATGACCAAGTTACAGTGTTCTGAAAATGACTTGTAGAGGTGACCCCTTCAGAATTTTCAGCTTCTTTTCTGGAAAAAACAAAGATTTGATTGATCAAAAATTCTACAGGGAAATCGTCGCGATCAAATGAAGTTGGTAACATGATATCAGCCCGGACCTTGCACCCTGCGATTTTTGGTTATTCCTTACGTTGAAAAAGGGCTTAAGAGGCAGGAAGTTTAACTCCATCAACGAGATGAAAAGAGCTGTTGAAACTTTCTTAAAGAACATTAGGCAAGAAAAATTCGAAAAAACCATCTTTGAAGAATTGGGAAGAACGGTTGCGGCGCTGTGTGGCAAGTGATGGAGGGTATTTTGAGAAGAAACTAGTGTCCAGTCATCCAGTGAAGAAGAGTAAATGCTAGTAATCTTGGTAAGATTCTGCAAAATTGATTTGATAAAACCACTTGAATCCTTAATTCTTTATTTTTTTTTCCAGAAAAGAAGCTGAAAATCCCGTAGGGTTCCCCTCTACAAGTCATTTTCAAAACGCTATGACTTGGTCATTTTTTGACTTAGAGAACTTGGATTTGTCTTGTTTTATCGGTAATTGGCCGGTCTTTAAGACTACACAAACCGCATTTTGATATCTACTACCGTTCGTCAATAAGAAAAAAACGTGCAGTACTTTTGGGACAACCTATGTATAACGCACATATATACGAAAGCTAGGTAGTAGAAGGTTAATTTGCATTTAGGGAGGGGGGAGGTGCCGAAACACGATAAAATTGAACATTTTCTCCCCTAAAAAATTGCTAAAAATTTGCATTTAATTTAACCTTTTTTCACTATTTCTGGTATCAGCAGATAGATCTTTTTGAGATCTTTCATTTGAAAAAAGTTTCAACTCAATCCGATTTTTCGCTCAAAAGTTATAGGCAGTTGAAGGTTTTGTCTTTGACCCCCCCCCTCTCCCCTCTCTGAGGGGGGGGGGCCCTAAGTCAAAATGACTGCCATATTTGAACGACTCGCATGCTACTGTATCACCCCTGAAAAGATGGATCACATTTGATAGGGGCCCAAATCTGATGGGGGATGGGACAACCTCTTTAAGAGTCTCTGCTCCTTGAAAAAGCTTGATACCTCAAAAGCAGATTAGGAGTGGAGTCCGCCACTGATAAAACACAGTTATTCCAAACAGAGCTTATAGTAGCCTGAGAGCTCATTCAGATTAATTTAACGGGAAGAATATATGAGCCTCAAACTATGGCAAGGTGAATTATTCAGCGCAATCATCCTGAACTCTGGAGAGGCCTAAATAACGCCAAAATTAAGGAAAAACCTGGAAAGCAATTTGTTCATGAGCACGAATTTAGAGGTTTAAAGTTCATCAGAGGTGCAGAAACTTCCGGATATTGGAGCCGGCCCAGTCCTGTGAAACAGGGGAACCCATGTAAGGACAAGAAAAATGGTGGAACCCTGAGAGAAGGGGGGGGGGGAAATCGGGGAACCTAAGGAGGTTTGTTTTTTTTTTTGCAAGGTTAAAATCTAATACAATTTTCCTTCAAGGTAAGAAAACTGTTGAGCAAATTGTTTCAAGGGTACCGAACTGCAAAGTGCGGTGTTTTAGGGGAACTTAACTGTTGAGCATGCTTCTTTGAGGGAAACAACAACTTAATCGGCCCGATACAATAATACAAAATCAACTTAAAGCGTTTCAAGTTGCTTTTGTACTTTGAACAGCAAAGTGCGCTGTTTTTGAGGGAACAAAACATTCAAGCTCGCTGCATCCAAGGGAACAAGCTGTTGTCTCAGGATTGGTTTAAAACTATTTATTGTAATAATATTCCAATTAAGCTTAAAATTGACAGTGGATTTCAGGGAAATGTCCTGCCGTTTTGTGTTCTTGAGCAGATCGCTCACAAAAGTGATTTATTGTCCTCCAAATTAGTCATGGAGACATGTGGTGGTTTTATTATTTAAGCCTCTTGGTTGCATAATTGTTCATTGCGCCACCAAGTGTGGGCATCAAACCATGTTGTTCCTCTTGGGAGAAAAATAAGCAACTCCTTTTCTGGGCCTTAACACATGCCTGGATTTAAATTTAAAAAAGCGAGCAAATGAGGTAAAGCTTCAAGCTACTCCTGAATAAGATACTATACGAACTAGAAAATTATAGGTAATTTCAACCAATGTTAGAAGGTTGAATGGTACAATGTTCTAGTCATTGTCAAAAAACGAGATAGATCCATTCGTATTTGTCTCGATCAGTTCAAACTCAATAGAGGTATTATTAGGCGTTCATGTTATGTACCGATATTTGCGGAAAATAAAGAAAAATTATAAGGTGGTAAGTGTTTTACTGTTTTAGATATGAAAAATGCATTTTACAAAGTTAAACTTCCAGTAGAATCGTCAAAATACTGTGGATTTATAATCCTGTGGGGAGGATAAATGTTTTTACGGTTAACTTTGGGAATTTTCATTGGGCTAGAAACTCTGCAAAGGCTCAATACTGGTACCTTGGTCAGTTACTTTGTTCTAAAGTCATTAGGGACGATACTGTAACTTTATGTAAAACCATTCGAGCATGATAGAAATTTATTGGGAGTATTAAAACAAGCTGATAAAATTGATATTAAATTTAATATAAAAAATATCAGTTTTGGCAACCTAGGATTCATCACATGGGTCAAGTAATAGATGAAGAAGGTATGAGGCCCCCCATGAGCATATACAAGTAATCTTGAATTTGCAACCGCCTAGATATAAGAAAGGCTTATTCAAACTATGGGTGTAGTTCACTGCCTCAGCTGATACATTCCCGATTTAGTAGAATTGACTGTTCCGCTTGGGTGGGTGTTGAGAAGAGATGCTCGATAGGTTTGGGTAGCGGCGCAATCTGATTGTTTGGAAGACATTAAAGTTGCGGTTAGTAACATTTCTAAGTAAGCTACGTTCGATCCTTCTTTGCCTATTACTATCCAATGTAATGCATCTCAATTCGGGTAAGGAGCATGCTTGGTGCATTTTCGGACTCGTTTTTTTGAAATTATTCAGTCCTAATGATTATAGCAATAGTGGCAGTGATATTTTAATGCTATCAGTCTATTCAGTCTATCAGTGATAGTGACTTTCTAAGGTTTAACACAGATCCTAATGAGACGCCCCGAAGTATAAATCCAAATAGAGGCCAAAAACCTAACGTACCAAATCTTAGAAATGCAGGTGGAGAAGTTAAAAAGAAATTAAATGATGATTTTTTGTACGGGAAATTGAAGTAAATTTTTCCTGGCCCAAAGTGATCTTTTTTTTTTTTTTTAAGCTGATAAGTTAGTTGGAATTCGCTGTGATAAAAATACTTATCAACAGATTTTAAATTTTTCAAAATTGTAAATTTATTATGTTTTTTCAGTGGGGCTAAAGTAATGCTGTTAGTATCATTTTCTTAACATACATGCTTGATTGTTACTGATATGTGTTCAGAATATAGAAATAAGTTAGTAATGAAAGATACTGTAAGTGTCGAAGGCGATTAACGCCAGATTTGTGTTGGATCAAGGCGATTAACGCCAGATTTGTGATTTATTAAGGTGAATAACGCCTATGAAAACGAGCTTGTACAGCCAACCATGTTTAAAGCGCTTGTCGTGAAATAATTATTTTATACAAAGACGACTAATGTAAATGAATTGTTTGCTGGCTAAAACAATGATCAACATGAATGGAATTTAATAATGCGTCGTAAACAGTGAAATGAAAGCAAACACATTCCAATATTGCCAAAACTATTTATGATACTTGACCTTTTGCGATTTTTGAGCACAATTGCCCTAATCTTTGTTTAATTTTTGTTTTAAATTTTAATCAATATAACTGTTATGCGACAAAAAGACTTTTTCACAATAACTGTAATCTTTAATGTAGAGTTATGATAATTACTACTGTGCTCAGTCAACAATGACTCAAGAAAAAAGACTACAGACGTGGACTAGGTGTAGATTTTAATAAATCGGATCAGGAGTGAATTTATCGTTTTATAAACAGAAATACAAAAGAGGGTAATTACCAGGATTAAACTCTTCTACAGTATGATGATTGAAACGCCTTTTCAGAATTTGAGTTAAAGATAGGATGTTCTTGCCTTCCAACTGACATACTTGAGAGTCACCATACCCTAAACTTGGTGCAACTCTCTGTAAAAAAAATTATAAATGTGGATTAGGTATTCGGTATACAGATTCATCCATACATCAAAGCAAGAATATTTAATACATAAAGATGAGTCTATTGCAAGCTTCAGCTAGAACACATCTTTACTTTCCTGCTTTCTATACTCAGTCTAACGAGGAAAAGTATGGTTGTTTGATTTTAGGTGAGAGACTGCCTCACATGACAGCAGGCATTCTAAATTTTACATCACTCTAGCCGTCACTCAAGACCAGAGTGATTCATTGATATCAAAAGATGTCTTTGCTGCAGTATACTATGGGAAGTAAGAAGCTCGGAAATGCACCAATTTCTCATTTGTGAGACGAAGAGTGAATTTAAGACTCTACAAATGTGCTCATTTTGCTTAAGAAACATATCTTGTTTTTGCTCTGCCTGAAGTTTGCAATGAACCCACTAAATTTTGCCCATTTTCCATGGACAATGTCACTAAAAATTATACCCATTGAAAAAAGAAAGCACAGCAGCAAACTTGTTGGGGAACAAAAACTTGAAAGGTATTCACAGGTAGGTTTCTTTGAGGAAAAAATGTTTAGATATCCAAATAAAAGAGTTGTGACATACTCGATTCAGCAGCTGTCACTTGCTTACGTAACCTACTTCTAGTTAGCCCTGCATTGTACAGTTAAAGTTCCATGTGAACAGTGCTGAAATGTTCTGTGAATGAGAAGTATGATACTCTCATTCATCGAGTCATCGATTTTTTCCCTAGAGCACGGGGTTTTTTTTTTTTTCCAACGGTCGAACAGTTTTTAGCGAAGCTCTTCGAAAATAGCAGGCTCTTAGTGAATCGTTGGTTAAAAAATGGATAATAATAATCGATTTGTATTTACACGGTTCATGACAGCCTTTCAAAAGAAAAATTAAAGACTTTCAAGGATTTATCATTGCTAAAATCAAAGACTTTTAGGGAGTTCTCAAGGACTACCGAAAAAATACAAGTACTTTCGAGGACTTTCAAAAAATACTTTGAAGGCTTACAGAGTGCATATAGGAATGAAATAATACCTTTTATACATTCTCGTTTCTCTACTTTCCACATAAAGGAGCAAATGTAAACACGAGATTTTTCCAAAACACAAAATGCATCGAGAAGAAAGAAAAATTTTACCAAGATATTGTTCACAATAAAATTGATTAACTCGATCTGTGGTTGGGTTGAAATCCAGGAATTGTTGTAAACTCGTCATCACCACATCTTAGAAATACGTATGGAAAACTGTATCACAATTCTGTTCTCTGAACAATTTATTTCACAGAGGACAGTGAGACAGTTAGAGGGAAGACACGAAATCACCAGATGATGTAAAATTCAAGAACTTTCAAAACACTTTCAAGGACAAACGGGCAAAATCCCAGAATCCAAGTATATTCAAGGCATCACGAACCATGATTTATAGTCATTTTAACTTAAAGAGTGCCTGACTTTTAAAAAAGAAACAAGAAATGAGAGAAAAAATCACAGGAACTCACTAATTCAGCGACCCCTTAATTCAGGCATGGAAAATTAGGACTTTAATTGAAAACGGACAAAAAAATTCAAATTCGCAAACTTTACGAATGATCAACATAATGGGACATTGCCAAGATATTTATCCAGAGTTGTAGTATAATTTTCCTGGCATACAATTTTGTGGAAGAAACTGAAAGATTTATTGTAAAGTTCAAAAAAGCATTTTTGAGGAAACCAGGCAAAGGCCCAAAAAAATCAAATCAAAAATTGGTAAGAGAATTCAATGAGTGGACTGTATGTCTCACAGGTATTGAATTACCTGCAACTTGTTCTTTTCTTAAACTTATAAATTTCTCATGCATATTCACTAACTCATTAGGGATGGCTGAATTTTGTCCATTTTCCTCTTTTTTACTTCTATCACCCAGCCATCTCCTACAATCGCCCATTAATTTTATTACTGAACTTGCAGCTGATAGCTCCACTGATTATAGCCAGCCAATAGCGTGTAGACTTGTTGTCTCACCACCTGTGACGTCAGCAAGTCTATAAAAGCTTGCGCTGCCCCAAAATCTTGGTCCTTTACCATCTGACCCGTACAAGTACGATGTGCCCTCTCTAGCCCTTCTGGCACAAGTGTGACTATTCTTTTGTAAATTCTGTAATTTTCCAAATTTAACTTAATACATCTTTCGGCCCTTTAAAATTCTAGTTCATTTCTGCTCTCCCACAAACTTTGCTCTCCCACAACTTTTTAGTAAAAACTCTCTTGTTCCGACATACTTCCGAAACACGCATCTTGTGTTCTAACATGGTGCCGAAACCAGCCTTCTCAATTTATGCAGAAGGTATGGTTCGGATTTCTCTCTTCCCAACGTGCAACTGCCAGTATGACTTCCAGCCACCTGTTTTGCGCTTAGCACTCCGCAATTTTTGAAGTTCCTTTTCAACAGAAAAGAAGAGAAGTTCCTGTTCCAGCCGAAACAGACGAGGTGATTTTACAAGGTTACCCTTTTCCTCGTGCATATCAAAGTGAAAAAAAGACGTCCTAAGATCTGGTTCTGGAGATCTACCTTCATCATCCGTGCCCACTCTATCTGGCCTTTAGACTCCAGCCGTATTCCGCATCTCTCAAACTTGGAACTTCTCATTTCTCACTCTCTCCATCGCCTCCAACTGTGATTTTTTTTTGTGAACTTCATTGTGTTAGTGCTTAAGCGAAATTGTAGTGATTAAGGTTGGTCAAGTGTACTTATTTTTCTTTCTCCCCCTCCCACCACCCTAAATTTTTCTTTTTATTTACTGTCATGTCTAATTCTTCTTTTTTTCAGGTCATTTCTCTTTTCTGGTCGTAAATTTTCAAAATTTCAATTTTACACTCTAGTAACTGTTTTGTCTTTCACGGCATTTCTAGTCCTTTTTAATCTTATTACTTACTTCATGCCGACAAACAGTATTTTCTAAATTTTTATCTTTACTACCTTTTCTTCTTTGAGCGTAAAATTAGTTTTTCGTACATATGAAATTTTGCAATCCATCAATCAGTCTTTTTCTAAATTTTTCAAAGTAACTTTTTTTTGGTAATTTTTCAATAGTTTTCTAATTTTTTTCAATCTAGTAATTTTTATTTATTTTTTTTTTTTTCGATCAGATTTTCACCTTTTCTTGCTTTTCTTTTGTATTAATTTTAGTTTAAGTTTTCAAAGACACTTGTGAGTTCTCGCTCAAGGTTTGTCCAGCACTTTTCATTCTTATTTCTCTAATTTTTTTTGCAATTTTTCGTGTACTTCCTTTTCTTGATTTGACCTGCTTTATCTAAAATTTTTTTTGTGCTTGGTAAGACTCCCTGACCCTATTTTCTTTTTTTTTAACTTTTCGAAATTTTTCTTTTCAATATAATTTCCGTACTTTCTTTTGTTTCGTGTGATTTTGTTTGTTCTTGCGATTACACGTCCTCATCTGTCTCTACCGCCTAGTGCGATTGACACTTCTCTGGGCTGTGGAAAGCGATTACAACTTTGTCATCGAAATATTTTACCTTAGTTTTTCTTTCCGTTCTTTGAGAATTTAATATTTAAACGTCTCCCGTATCTTTCAATTTACTCTTTATTTATCTTTGTTTTTGATTTCTTTCTCTTTTCTTTAAGTCTTATTTCAGTTCCATAGCGCAAGATGCGCAACTGTGATATAACTTTCCTGTTGTCTTTTGTCTATGTCAGGAAATTTCAATTGAGCCCACCCTGCTCTTGTTTTTCTTGCCATTCCCAACAGTCAACCCTCTCTATCCCCATATTTGATTTTTCGCTCTATTTTCATTCAATCGCCAACGTATCTAACTCCCAAGTCTCCTGAGTCTTACCAACACACCTTATTTCCTTTCTTTTTTTGTAACTTTGCATTGTTTCCCTAGATCCATAGTTTTCTTCACTTGAGATGTTTTTCCTTCAGTTGGATTCCGATCCGACTTCCTCTTAAAATCTTAGGTCAAGTGACACGTAGCAAATGTCACCTTGTAAAACGTACGTTTTTCAGGACACTAGCGTCGATTCCTATCGACACCGTCGATTTCCACATCGACTCCTGTACTTTCCTTAGCGCAAAGGATTAGTACACCCTTGGAATAACTCCTCTCGAAAGGACATTCCTGTACTGCAAAATCCCCTAGAACAGATTGCAGGTTCCTCTATAATCAACGTGTACGCTTCTAGTAAGCTGGCTGCGATTTAGTGGACAATTTCTTTTCAATGTTTGAATCTTTTTACTGCCTTTTCTTGAATTTTTTTTGCTCGTGTAATTTCTTTTTCTGTAATTTTTGCCGTCACCTTATTTGATTTTTGCTTTCTACTTGGTAGTTCTTCTGATACTTGAAAAAGCATCTCGGAATGCCAAGTTTCCTCACCCTGAGCTCCAGTAGGCCGCAATTCTCAAATGTATGACCCCTTTTGTGTTCCATTAGTTTTCTTTAAACCCCTGTAATTTCAGTAATTTCGTACCATCTCGTCATGTTTTGTGGATCGGTTTGCTTTCTGACGGACTCCTCCTCACCTCTAGCAATAGATTTGCATTGGTACTCTCTGAGACTGTCAGTTGGTTTTCTTGTCTACATTCATGAAATAGTACATTTTCTTTTTTGTCAAAATTTTTCTTTTTCCCCAAGCACTCTTTCGTAATTTGATTCAAACATTCCTCCCTCTCTCTCTCTCTCCTAGTGTTCCTTCTGGTTCCAGCCAGTAAAAAAAAATTGCTACCGCCGCATTCAAAACGGCTCCTTTTGACTTTCCATAGTCACTCTCTTTAAAAAAGGCGCTCTCTTTTCTAGCCTCATATCAATCAAAAAGTGAAGTCTACTATTGTAAATCATGGCCATGTAACATCTCTCATGTACAATCTTTTTAATATTGTATCAAATCTTTAACCCCTAGTCTAAACAATGCTCCAACTAGTTACTCCCTCTTGTTGATTTTTGATCTTGTTTTGTCTCGTTCAATATTACATTTTATTCCTTGAAAAAGACAGAACAACATCATTTAAAATTAACGACCCAATGCATTATTCATGACAGTACAGCCAATTTTTTTCGTTTTATCATTCTCAGTTTTTATCAATTTGTAATTCTTTCATTTTTCGTTTGTGCTAAAACACTTTCAATATGCATCTTTTCTCAGAGCTACAACGATTTCTACATTTTGATAATTTCTTCCTTGTTTTCGTTAATAATTTTGCTGCACCGTCTGCTCTGCACTTAATTGTTAATCTCTTATCGATCTCGAATTTTACTTTTCGCTAGTCTGGCACTTAATATTGTCAATCTTTCACATCTCTGTAATTTCTTTTCTTTGCGTGGCTGGACTTGACCTACATTCCTACATTCCTACTCGTCTTATCACTTGCTCATTTGCACCTTTCAATCAGTGGAGACATTTTGCTTCATAACTGAAATTCCTTTCTGTCAACCTGTTATGCAGTTGCACCATCTCTCTTTTATTAACTTTAAAATTTTCTTTAGCTTTTTCAAACTAGTCAAAAATTTCTCTCCATATAGTCACAATGTCACACTTCTTACTCAACACGTTCCTATTATCTTTTATTTACATTTGTTAACAGTTTTTACTTCTTTTTACCATCTTTTTCTACTCTTTTTACAACTTTTTTAAAGATCTATGTTAACTTTTGTAATCTTTTTTTACCATCTGTGTTGATTAAGTCTATAATCTCTGTAGTTATTCATTGCAAATCTTCCCCTCTCTTTTAGAACTTTTCTTTTTATTCATTTTTGTGTCACTTAAATTCTTTTTTTAGTTGACACCCCATTTCCGCCCTTCCGGCCCAATTTTCTTTACTTTTTTTTCATTTTTGAAATGCCAGGTCGCAATTTTCTCTCCCCAGGGGGGTGTCACAGGTATTGAATTACCTGCAACTTGTTCTTTTCTTAAACTTATAAATTTCTCATGCATATTCACTAACTCATTAGGGATGGCTGGATTTTGTCCATTTTCCTCTTTTTTACTTCTATCACCCAGCCATCTCCTACAATCGCCCATTAATTTTATTACTGAACTTACAGCTGATAGCTCCACTGATTATAGCCAGCCAATAGCGTGTAGACTTGTTGTCTCACCACCTGTGACGTCAGCAAGTCTATAAAAGCTTGCGCTGCCCCAAAATCTTGGTCCTTTACCATCTGACCCGTACAAGTACGATGTGCCCTCTCTAGCCCTTCTGGCACAAGTGTGACTATTCTTTTGTAAATTCTGTAATTTTCCAAATTTAACTTAATACATCTTTCGGCCCTTTAAAATTCTAGTTCATTTCTGCTCTCCCACAAACTTTGCTCTCCCACAACTTTTTAGTAAAAACTCTCTTGTTCCGACATACTTCCGAAACACGCATATTGTGTTCTAACAGTATGTTTTAATGATGAAAGGCTACCAGGCCGCACAGGGCCGGCTACAGAGCAAATCTGGGTTCCCTAGGTTTTGATACGAAAACGAAATGAAAAAGAAACTCACTGAAAGAGAATAATTTGGAGTTTAAAAAGAGGATTATTCAAAATCGGCGATTTTGCCCCCCTCTTGGATTTTGCCCGGAGTTGGATATGTTGTTCCCTATCACAAAACACGCCTTTTTCTCGCATTGGCAAGTTCATCTAAAATTCGTCTCGCGCGCTGCAGCGTTGCCAAGTTGAAAACAGGCAAATTCCGTAAGTGGCATTAAAATTGAGCTACGCGAAGTTGCGGTTTTAACGAAAATTCTCTAAAAATTGCGCACGGTTAGGAAATGACCACGTTTATAATATGTCATATTAGTTTTAACATGCACAATAGATGTGGTCCTCCATGCCAAGTTTCAATGAAGTTGAATAAATAAATTTTTTAAACTGAAACACACATTTTTTTCAAATCTGCAGGCAGCTTACAACGCCTAGCAATGATGAAGTTCAATTTGTTTCTTCTTTTTTCTCTGATGACAATACTTCCTCTACCTGCAAGAGGAACAAGAAAGTTAAAATAAAATAAAAAGATGATGAAGTCTTATGGTACTTGCCAGTAAAATATGATTATGTACAGCCCCTTTGGGTGACACAAATAAATACGGCTCATCCAGGTCACATGCACAGTAAACTGGACTTCTAAGAGATACACCTTTTCCTTGGATTATTTTCTTCTCCTGAATCAAAATGTAAAAAATTCCGTTTGTGTGCTGTATGACTTCTATAAACTTTAAAACAAAAAACATCACAAAATTAGGAGAGAAAAAAGAGAACCACAGGGTGCCTGAATGAGCCACGGAACACAGTGAGAAATTAAGTTTTACAGCATACAATCTCCCATCAAAATTTTACACAAAACACGTTGGGCACGGTTGAAACTTTCACAACTAGCTCAAGAGAGAGGTATAAAATTCCAAAGTTTACAATATAAACAGTAAATTCAAACTGCCTGCAAGCAAAAAATCCGTACTCAATGTAGATCAAATTAGGCATTGAAATCAATCTACATGATAGCCAAATGATCCTCCAAAGACATGGGTTCCTCTCCAAAATATTCGAAAAAGTACTATAAGATCAAATTAATAATTACTTTGAGAACAACAATTTGTTCTCCAAATTTCAGTTTGGTTTTCGGAAATCTAAAAGCACCGGCGATGCAGTCCTGTCTTTCATTGATAATGCAAGAAAAATTAGGAAGTCGCATTCCAAAACACCGATTTACAGCCTACAATTTGACAAGTCGAAGGCTTTTGATTTGGGAGATCATGAGATATTATTAGAAAAATTTTTTAAAAATGGTTTTTCCGATAACGCCTGTGACCTTGTCAAAAGCTATCTCTCAAATCGAAAACAACAGACAGAAGTTTAAAAAAAATGAGCTTAGGTATCTTTCTACCATCAAAACTTGTTCGGATGGAGTGCCTCAAGGCTCGCTTTTAGGCTTACTCCTTTTCTTAATCTATGTACGACTTGCCTGATTTTTTAGTGGACATTGAGAACAGTCAAACAGTAATTTATGTTGATAATATTAACCTTAGCTATGTTTAAGTGAGCCTCTAAACCTAACTTCAATCGAAACCTGAGTTTGAAACCAAGGTTCAAATCATGGCATAAACGATCCGGAACTAACGAAATGTAGGTTTCTGAAATTTGTGTTTGAAACCTTATTTCACACTAAAGACTAGGTTTTTGCATTCCGCAAAAACGAACCGGAAGTTGAAATTCGACTTCTAATGCGATTTCCAGGTGGGCGATCGGCAACATGGCGGATTTGTTATCATAACGTTCGTAAACAACTGATGCTTTTCCCACGATTTTACTGTAATTTTGCCACTATTCAACATTTTTTATAATCATAATTTTACTAATTTTTGCTTAAGCACTTTTACGTAATTCCTTAGGTCATATGTGGCTTATTTATCCTTATTTAGCTAAATGTAGAACGTTACTTTCTAGTGAGGGTGTTCAGTGTCAGATCAAATCCTGGCCTGGCTCACCACTACTTTTTCAGATTATTCTTACAACTCTCATCAACATTTTATGACTAAAAACACGGAATGTACGGTCTTAGTAATAGCCTTACTAGTTCATCATCTGCGGAGAACTTTTTTACCGTATCCACACGATTTGCCCAGGATTTGCGTGAGGACGCGGGTGCGTCGTGCTCCAGTTATGCCTGACGTTTTCCAAAGTTAATTTCAGAATTTAAATGTTTAATGACCTTTCAAGTGTGTGCCAGTAAATTCTGCATCGTTTAGTGTTTTATTTGTGACTGTGCGTGGTGTTTGTGTCAAAATTTTGAGAAATTCTCTACGACACATCACTGCCAGTCCTCGGAAAGAATTCGAAGAATTTCTAGTATTCACCTTCCGCCTTGTAACAGAGTTGTCATGCTGAAAAAGAATGACTTGTCGCCCCGTATCACAAGAGCAGGTTCGGCCAAATCTACCAACTCCGGCATTCCTAAGGGCGACAGAAGTCAGGTCCGACTATCGACTGATAAGGCTGATGCATCTCAAGACGGCAACAACAAACGGTGGCGTACTCTCATGGACCGCAATGCCACTAATGACAGGAAAAGAAGAGCAGCGTCTTCGTCGTCATCCTCCAAGCCTACTGCCCCTTCATCTAGCGACGATGCAACATCCACTTCACCCACGTGTTCACTACCAAATGTGCTAACGGTTTCAAGTCCTACTGTTATAACGTCACAAAATCGGAAATGTCCTCCTAAACAAATGATCAGTCGGCAGAATAAAGATTCCTCTCCAAAAATAACTGGAAAATATAGCCCTAGTAACTACTTATCCAAAAAATGTACTTGCACTTGTACTTGTAAAAAATCGGCGGTATCTGTATCCATAGGCACCCAAACAGAGCCTCCTGATCAAAATGAAAGTAATGATCGGATGCAAAGACTCCTGCACCAACGCGACTCTCTAATTAAAGAAATAATTGATGTAAAACAATTAAATAAGTCATTGTCAAAAGAAAATTTAGCATTAGGTAATCAAATTCAAACACTAAAGGAAGATGCACTAAAACTAAATAGAATATTGAGTGAGAAAGCTAAAGAAATTGAGTCATACTTATCTGAAATAAAAATGACTAACATAAAAATTAATAAACTCATTAAAGACAATAAAAAACTATCTGAGCAGGTGCTATCCCAAGAAAACATCAGTAATAACTTATTGCCAAAAATCTTTAATAATGAAACACCAATAAATAATTTTGTCAACGATTCAATCCTGAAAGAAAAATTCAATGAAAGCACGCAGGAAATTGGAGCAAAAAGAAACCTGCTCATCCTTAGTGCATCTCATGGACGGGGTCTATCCAATATATTCAAAGATTCTCTTGGCAGTAACATTAGTATAACGTCTATCTTTAAACCTAATGCAAAAATCGAACAAGTTATTGAGAATTTAAAAGATTTAACCAAAAATTTTAATGAGAGAGACATAGTAATTATTATTGGAGGATCGAACAATTTTCACTATCATGATAAATGGAACATTAGTTTAGTTGCTTCAAAAATTAAAGATGTTATTGAAAATGTGAAAAAACCTCAAATCTTCTTCCAGAAACTTTTTCCTAGGTACGACATCCCAGCAAATGTATATCATGGATATTGTAAATTTGCAAGTGCGATGAACAATATGCTATGGAGGCTCACCTCAGAAACTAACAATGTTAATGTACTACCAAACAAAATGAGAAATAGGAGCGATTTTACAACACATGGCTTGCATCTAAATAAAGGAGGGAAGAAATATCTTGTAAATTCAATTCTAACAACTATTATAAAAGTGCACACGCGTAAGAACAAAGTTCTAGAGCACAAAGCCTCAACTGCAGAGAGAGCAAATTTATCTTTAAACTAAGAAGTATAGACGAAACCCTATTAAAAAATAAGGTTGAGAGCACTAAGTCAAATGAATTCAAACTAAAGAGTAAATTTAGAATTAAGCTTATTATGCAAAATATTCAGTACCTTAAGGAAAAGAAATTTTTACTGAGTGATTTTCTCTATGAGGAGGAACCACACATAGTATGTCTTTGTGAACATGGACTAAAAAATGAGGAAATAGAACAACTCCGAATTCACCCCGAGTATGATATAATATCTTATTTCAGTAGGAAGAAATACAAAGGAGGTGGTGTTATCATATTGGTACATAAAAGCATAAAATCAATACCAGTAAATATCGAGAGAAGCAGTGAGGAAAAAGTTTTTGAATATGCCATGTGTCTGCTGCCTGATTTAAAGATTAGAGTGATTGCCATCTACAGATCACCAAGCTCTAATGTAAATGATTTCCTAGACAGGTTAAATAAAATGCTTGATAATGTAAGTCTGAAAGAACAACTAATTATCGCTGGAGATTTTAACATAAACCTAGACTCTGGATGTAACGATAAACAAGTTAGGGATTTCTTGAATATCATGAAAGAGAATGGCTGTAAGTATACAGTCTCAGAATACACCAGAATCACGGAAACAACCGCTAGTAAAATAGATAATGTATTCACGAATGTGCCATACAAACATGTTCAGTCTCAAGTCCTAGAAAACGCCCTATCAGACCACCTTGCTATTGAATCCAACATATGTACTGAAAACTTTGTAAAAACGTCTCCTGAGAACGGTTTTTTTATGAGAAATCATAACGATCCGCTTGCTAAAAGTTCGTTCGCCAATTTTATTATCGACACCTACAATTCCGACCTTGGTAAAAATGCCGAAGAATTCTTTACTTCTATCTCATACCAACACAATCTATACTTCCCTGAGAAATTTAAAGCGATCAAAAATAGGAAAAATGTCATAAGTAGAAAAGAAAGAAGAATTCATTATCATAAAATAGCAGAGATAAGTAATAAGATGAAACAATTAAAAAAATCTCCTGAATTTGATAAGGAAGTTTATAAACAATATAAAATCGAGCAAAAAGACATGAAGAGGAGGTATAAAGAAAAAATTTTAAGGGAAAAAGCTAGTCAGGTAACGGACAGATTAAATAAATCTGAAAACATGGCAAAGACATCGTGGTCCGTCATAAATGAAGAAAGAAAGGAAAAAAATAGTAGAAAAAGCATAGATAAAATAGAATACAAGGGCGAGATTTTTGAAGATCCTGTTAACATAGCAAATAAATTTAATGAGTATTTTACCTCAGTTATGGGAAAATCCTATACTTCACAAATTGAACATAAAGACTTTGATCATATAATGAGTGTCAATGAAATATTTGAACTGAACAAAACCGATGAATACCAAGTGGAAGAGGCAATAAACAGCCTTAAAAACAAAAAATCCCAAAGCCACGATGGATTGAGTAACATGACGGTAAAAATGTTCAAATCAGCACTTACTCCATCCTTGAATCTTCTCATAAATAAATCCTTCTCAGAATGTTCGTTTCCAGAATCGCTAAAAATTAGCAAAGTGTCACCTCTATTTAAACAAGGCGCCAATGAAATCTTGAGCAATTACAGACCCCTGTCCTTAGTGTCCCCCTTATCGAAGATATATGAAAAAATAGTGGTGAAGCAAATTTCTCGATTTTTAAGAAAGCATAAAATTCTCTATGAGCACCAGTACGGCTTTCGTGAATCACTCAACACAGAGGCAGCAATACAGAAATGTCATAATGTATTACTCACTGATAGAAAGAAACACAAATATTCAGTCATAGTTGCGGTTGACCTTAAAAAAGCGTTT